GTTAAGTGTGACTTTTTAACGCTTGTGTGCTCTCGAATTAGCAAAATAGTACTCTAATTTTATCCTGCACACCACCTACTATTTGTCGGGTGTATTTACAGTACTCCATTCAACACTTGTTGAAAAGTCCTTTTGAAATTCACCGAAGTGCTTTTTAATTAGTTTGTCAGGAACACACTCGTTTGTGACAATTATTACAAAATTTACATATTAATTGCTTTTCCTTCGTAATTTGTAAAAATTTGGATCACATGAACAACCATTATCCTTAATTTGATGAAGTGAGCACTTGTTGAACGAAACATGTTTCATTAGTTTGAAGTATTTGTTACCATCCAAAGGAAAAATTCCACGTTTGTATGGCAACAATGAAATTTATTTAGTTTTAAAAATTATGAACTAATTAAGTGGCACTTAGAAGGAAGGACTCTTGAATTAAATACTTCAATGGAACAGAAAAAATATTTAGCAAAGTTAGACTTTAAGAAGTTTTGAAATGGCTGAGGTCATGTCAGTACAAATACCATAAATTTTAAAGGCCACTCGAAAAACTAATGAATCACAAAGAGCTCACATTAAAAATGTTCAAACATTAGTATTTTTTTTAAATCAATTAAATTAAATGTATTAATGTAGTTAATCAGTTGTGAATATCAAGCGAATAGATTTCGAAGAAATAAATGTTTGAATATACAAACAAGTCTAATACCTACAATGGCCTTCTTATTGCTAAACCTAACAACTATTTTTTTATTTATTTTATACCTCTTAATTTTTGAATAGTAAGTAAAGGAATAGATTTTGAATGTATGAATACTTTCGTCTAAAGCTAAGTGTTAGCGTATATGTAATATATGTGATGTAAAAATGTGTAACAAATGTATAGTCAAGTGGTGGATAAGTCAAACAAGTTTCTAATATTTCCGATTTATCAGTTTTTGTGGTTCAAGTTTTTTTAAATACTTTTAGGCTGCTTTGAATTATATTCATATACCTTTATATATTTATTATAACCCATCCTGTAGTCACAAGTTCCTTGTGCAAAACTGTTTGATAAATATTCCATAATTAGTGAGACATATTAATCTCATAAGGTTCTGTCATTTTGATATATAGAAAGAAAAGAATTTGATTTGTTTGTGTAATTACAAATAAATACCATTTAATAAATTCTTATGAAAAACGGCTTCCTTTATAAATTAACTAAAGGTCATTGTCATACCTTAATGACTGAAAGCATTTATATAATATTTGATCAGTGTCATGTGTCAAATAAAACTATTATTCAGACATCATATGGATCATTTAACAACTGCAAAACGTGTGTAATCTTTATACACAAAAAGGTATTTCGCTAAAAAAAAAAAATTATCATATCTGGAGCAATCAAAATCCAAAACTAACTATTGATAAGTCATTGTATGATGTGACATTTATCTCCTCTATCAACTGCGTAGTTTGGTTTCAAGAGTAAGATTTTCAGTAACAGGTTTTTGGTATAAAATGGCGCTTGTACTCTAAACGGGCAGAACGAGATATATAGTCATCACTAACACCAGCCAAACATGGTGTATTCTGGAGATGTTCTTGAAATCATTTTATTTGAAGATGTTCACCAAATCATTTTGTTAAGAGATGTGTTAGGGTCGACCCCTACTTTTTTAAGAATAATGAAGATGTAACATTGAAATTGACACACTGGCATGAAATTAAAGACCCAAACTCTCAACGCTTTGAACATAAGCGTTCATCAATCATCAAATTATGGCTAGCAATGTGATAATATATCAAATATTATTCCGAGAGAATGCAGTATTGTAAAATATCCCGTGACGAAGGTATGAATAATATATTTTACACCTAATGGTAAGGTCTTTGTCCGAAATCTCGATAATAAGTGTGTCTTATTTCTTTTGGAACCACATAACAGATATCATTATATAATATATATCATTCAATGATATGACATTTTTACTTATTGTCGGTGTTAAAGTAATTTTATAGATTTCACTGGTATTTTCTGCCTTCAAAAAATTTTGTTTAGGGTCAATCAGTATGGTTTTCAGTGCGTTCCTCAAATTGTGATGTAGGTTTAAAAAAGTCACATGAGAAAATGTCTGATAAGTAAGATAGTTAATTGTAGGTTTTTATTCTAGTTAAAATCTTAAATCGATTACTCGGGTCTCTTTATGCAGGTCTTTTTTTGGGTCATGTTTGAATATTTCGAAAGAGTATTTTATATTCTTCATCTGTCTCTGTTGCAGTAATTCGTCTTGCGATATATAATGAATATTGAAAAAATAATAAAACATCACTTTGATTTTAATGTTGGAACTTAAATATATTCAACTGTAAAAAGAAAAGCTTTATTGCCCTTTTATTTACATAATACTATGGTAAATCCTTTTCTTTTTTTCCTTCCATGGCAACATTTTATATTGCAAAAGAATAATTTTAAGCTTCTTCAATTATTTATTATTCTTCCATTTGAGGTGCTTCAAATTAAATCCCTGTCTGTTTTTCATCCTGCGTAATGTCTCAAAGATATATACTTATTTTCATCTGGCATTTCATTGGAAATAATATTTCAATGAAATATATTAAATATTATGCAGTGGAAGTACATAATAAGTCAATCATTTTTAAACTGCTCTTTGAATTTTATTTTTATTATTTATTATTATTTTTATGAAGTTCATTTTAATGTCCTTTTTATTTCAGTTTGAATATTGTCGCTAAAATAAAAGTTAAGATAACTTTAATAAAAAAAATTTGTTGGTAATAAAATTTTTATTTATTATGCTTATGAACCACAATTGCAAAACTGCAAATTTTATTATTTATTTATTTTTGTTTTGTTTTTTTTGTCAATCAAATCGTATATAAATTTATATAAACTTTCAATTGAGTGTAAAACACCCGCATAAAGTGGGAATGTACACCGATGGTCTCGGTCTCGGCGAGAACAAAATTAAAAGTTTCAATGGAACTTGTTAAAGTGCTTTTATGCTTTAAGAAGTTGCACGAGCATGGAAAAAATCTACCACAAAGTTCAGCAATTTGCTCTGAGGAACTGGGAAGGTAAACATGAACTCTCGTTCGCTTTAAGGAGCACTGCGTTCCGTTCCTTGTTTGCGCCTCATCTTTTATGCAACGCGTGTACGAATATTTTTATCCATTAAAAAAGCCATCATAAAATTTCACTTAAATTGAAGTTGGGCTCAGTTGGTGCGAAATGCGACGGGCGAGGAGCGACGGGCCAGGAGCCAGGAGCAAAGCAGTGAAACATGAGAATTATGCCACATATTTATGCGTTGATTATTAAATATACTCCAAAAGTGAAATATTTTCATGAAATATCAAAGTTGAGGATTTTTCAGAAATAAATTAACTTAGGTGTAATTTGTGCCTTTTGTTCAAAGCTGCCTAAAGGCCCTTCATATGTTTCATTCATTGTATGCTTTTGTATTAAACAATAAATATTTTTCACTATAGAAATTTTTCCAAAGGAGGAGAGGACCATAGATGAAAATAATATACTACTTCTTTAGAAAAAAGCTTTAACAAATTTAGGATAAACAAAAAAATAAAACGGAAAATATGTGTTATTTTCAAAAGGATGTGAAAAAAAAAAAATCAGAGCACTAATTTCATGTCCGGCCTTAGTGAAAAAAGACATTTATGTGGGTTAAGAAGATTTGTTGTGTCTAATTTCATAATAGAAAAAATATATCACTTTGGATTATCGCCTGATGTGTAGTTTATTTAAGTCAAAACCATTATGCTTATTTAATTTATAGAATAATATGCACCTTTAGTATTTTGAGCGATAAGAAACTGCTTAAAGATACCTGCTAAAATTGATTGAATTATATTTAAAAATAGGATATGTATTTACTTACACCTTATGTCGTATTTCCAAAGAGAGTCAACTTTAAAATATAATTAAATCGTGATATTACCAAAAATGAGACTAAAAGTAGAGCGAAATTGGCTATAATACTTTAAACTTCAAGTTTTACAATGGCTAGGACATCAAAAAATGAACTCGAAGTCAATAAGCGAAAACTTACAAGTCCCTCGATTGGTTAGCATGCTAGAGGTAACCCAAGAAATTTATATATAAAACGTATAGCGAACAATCTTTACAAAATGGGTTGGGTGGGTATATGTTTAAGAATACACATTGATTATGGAGAACTGATACTGGAGAGATAAAAAAAGGTAAAGGGAACTCCTACATCCGATGCAACCGTTGAGAAAGATTAGTGCTAGTTATGTTTTTATTTTATGCTTTATTCAAGGTTTTGACCAATAGAGTCTTAGTGGGTAAATGTTTTATAGGCGGCGGTTTTTCATGCTTTTGAACTACTGAAAAAAAGTAATTTTAATCGGCTAATTTAACATAGTAAATAAGTTTTTAGATGATGTGGCATAATATAGCTAATTTGCTGTTAATTAGTAAAATTTTCTGAAAGACAGTGAGAACTTATTTTGGTAGATATAGTTATACTGGTATATAAATATAGAAAACGACAGACGATATACTAGCCATTGCCGCTACTTCTGAAAATCTCGATAAAGAACTCGCTAACTATATATTACCTAAATATATGTGGCGTCTTGTGAAAGTAACATTTTATAGGAAGAGGAAAAATAGACTTCCAATCGATTTGTTTGTTCGTTCTTGATCTTTGTACTTAATAATATGTTTTCCTAAACTGTCCTTAGGACTATTTGGCAATAGTAATAGATAACAACAAGACAATATAACTTTCACTTAAAACATTTTATTTTGTTAGACATATATATTTGTTTATAGTTTTTTTTTTATTTTCGTTTGGTGGTCTTAAAAGTATAAAACCCTAACCTCAAAATATAAAATTTCTAACAATCTATATTATTTTTAATTTCAGTTCCTGTGCTGTAAAAATATTAAACTTTTTCTCGATGTTTGTCGTAACCACTTTAATGTACGTGAATCAGATTTATTCGAACCCACAATGCTGTATGACTTGACAAACTTTCATCGAGTACTCATAACCCTTTCAAAATTATCTCAATGCAGAAAGGTGCAACAACTCCATCCAAATTTACTGTAAGTTTACATTAAAACAATAATAGAATATATTAAACCTCATGTTTTAATATACCACAGAGGCTTTAATATACAATTATCATCCAATGAAAGATCCCATTCCGATGAGGCCATATATAAGGATCTGCATTGCACGTAAGTTTAGTATATATTATATATGAATAAATATATGAATATTTTAGCGAGTTATTTTTAAAATTAAAATTTTACTACTTTTCCTTTCTAAAAATTTATTAGAATTGTCAGAAGTTTCTTTTTTTTTTGTTTTTGTTCTCTTAAGCAACCAGTACTAACAATAATAATTTCTCTGTTTATATGCTCTGCTATCCCTACTGACCACTTCTACTATCACTTTTGTACAAACTAACCTCATGTAACTTCCTATTAACGACTCAAATCTGAAATCTGAAACCTGAAATCCGAAATTCGTGCATTTGTGTTTGTGTGTTAACCATTAATTAAGTGAGAGTAAAAAAAACGGCAGTATAGATGCGCCTTCCGAAACCTTCGATCGCACCTCACAAAGTGGCTCAATATCTGTCGATGATGAAAATAGTGATATAACCGTTGAAAACGGTACAGAAGATACAGAAGACTACGAAGAGGATAATTTTTCAAATATGTGTGACACTATTGATGATGAAGTACAATCCGTCCATTCGAATGGTAGTTCTGGTGCTACAGCAGCATCTGGCTCACTGTGTTCGCGTAGTGCTACGTACGCTGCATTCGGCTGTAGTACGACACGTACATCTACAAATTACAGTTCTATTGGGAGTAATGCTAACAATTGTTCTACCAAATCAGTACTGAACGATAATCAAAGTTTGCAAAAAGTTGCTGCCATCGCATGGAATTGTAAGCAAACAGAAAAGGAAATGGGTCATGAATACCTAAACGATGTTTATTCCGAAGATGAAGAAAAAGTATATGAGGATTTATGCTACGTCACGTTCTCCTCCAAAGTATCTGAGGTGTGCGCATTTGCTTTTTTAAACATAAAATCCACACTTACTTACCATACGTATTAAATGTATTTGCATAAAATCCAGCTAAAAAGCCTTTATGTTTGTAGTGTAGTTGATTTTCTTGATGTTGATTGCGTGGGTGAATGCGGTCTTTGAAAGTAGCTACATATTGTATGTGTACTCGTATGATATGATATGCAACAGTTGCAAGTAAGCATCCAACCAATATGCTGAGGGTGAAATTTATGAGATATGTAGACTCTTTTCATGTGCAAATGAGATGATGTGTTTATGTCGAGTAAGAATGTTACTGTTCTGCATGAATTTTTAAAAACATTAAAACGTAAAGCAGTATTCGTTGTCATATTCCATGCTTTGCACTGTTAGTATCAATTATGTTACCAAATTTAATCTGCATGAATGTTGATATTGAAATATCCTTTAAATACCTATAATTTATTTTTTTCTACTGTTTATAGACTACGTATTGTTTTGGTTGAACTAAAATTTATTAGAGAATATTTATTAATTTATTATAATGGAATATAAAATTGAATTCTTATTCTATGCTATTTATATTTTATCGGACTATAAAAAATCTTTATAATTGTATATGTATATATTTTAATCTATTCATATCTTTACTTATAATATAAATATCGTTAACAGGTAATATATGATAACAAGTCTGTTATATTTTCTCTTTAAGCAAATCTGTTATTTATTTTTAGACCTTTAAGGGAAAGCTCAAAATCTATTACATTGTATTACATTGAAGCTATTTGAGCCAGTGCACTTGAGCAGTTTTAATCTTTCTTAACTCGAGGTATTTTTAAAACCGCTCTTTACGCCTTGACTGGATTATCGTAGTTTCATACAAATGTAAGAACAACAGCAACAAACTTCTCAATACCTCTCTGCCTGTTATCTCTAGGAAAAAAGTGCCTTCTTCGTGCAGTAAAAACACGGGCTTAACAAATACTTGTCACACATAAATACCCCAATATGTGCCCTAACTGTAGCTGTACTCCTGTCCCAATGCACACTAATTTAAGTCCAATTTATCGTAAGCTACCTTTCTCATATTATTTTTTTCGTGTTTTCTGCTATAAAGATATCCACTGGCTACTACAACAACAGTATTGCTCCGCCTCGTTGAGGTTACAAATTTCTTTTATTCCGCACCATTTTAATTTCAAAAATATGTGTACTCGACTGCAGTTTTGTCTCTCAATAATTCGCCTATCTATTTTCATATTCAAAAGTAGACATGAATTTAACTCATATTCATTAATGACAAGATTCTTACCACTGATTTTGAGTTAGGTTTAACGTTCGTGCCCATACCGTTCTCCACTTCAACCTAATACGTCCTTACGTACCCCATACTATTATATTTGTGTACCTTAAGTACCTTTATGGATCAGACTGGTGTACGAGGGTTAACTCTTACTTAACCCTCGTGTAGAAAGGAGCCCTCGTTGGATGAATGAAAGAGGAGTGTTCAAGTGTTTTATCGTTATAAGTACATGCTTTTCAGGTCAATTTGGGCTATAAGAACCTTTTGCATGGAAGTGAACACAAAATACCAACTGATAAAAACAATTTGGAATTATTTTTAGTTATTAATACCTAATTTCTTTACTTCTGGTTAAATTGTAGTACAACAGCTTCATAACTTTTTTTCTAATCTATACTCAAGAAGTGAATTAATAACCAGCTCCCATCTCTCACTTCAAAGGAAGAAATATTAGCGTTAAGTAAATGCAGACTACTGTCTGATTTAATATTTAATATGATTATCAATTCTTATTCGGCTAGTAAGCTCTTCAAAAACAAAAGCCGCCTAACTCCTACAATTATTAATCAAATATTAATTTTTTTAAATTTACAATAATTTTCGCAATTTATTTTTAGCCAAAAATGCACAATTAATTTTGAAAATAAAATTTTACAATACAGATTCAATAGTTTTTTTTATAATATTTACATAAATTTTCTACATATTCAAATCATATATCCGATATTAAAAACATTTCTATATATATTCAGCCTTTTTTATTTAATATTATTCACCTTGGTAGATAAAAACTGAAAACGAAAATAATGAAACCGCTGGGCGTATAAATAAAAAAAAATAATAAACTTTCGTAAGTTTAGAGAATGCCACTGTACGCTGCAATCCAGGATGTTAATAATTTTTGCTTGGAATATAAATAAATAATGGACGCAGCGTACAGTGTTAACTTTGGTGTTTTGCCGCTACTGTTTAGCTCTGAGAATTTATTTAAATTTGTCCACTTTCTTGTGCTACATGTCTACCTTCATCCTCCTCACTTTCGCTGCTACTGCTGCAACTACTAAATAATTTGGTTACCATTGTGGCACCTGTAGATACCATGCCAGCAAGTGGTGTTACATCTAAGCTTGGATATTCAGCCTTAACTATTTGCCCGAAAACATTTAACAAAGCATCAAACCGACGTTCCAGTCTACGATTGAAATGTCGCTTGTGACGATAATACCTTTCACGCTCACTTAAATTCGAATTTTGCTTACGCTTTTTTGTTGTATCAGGTTTTGCTGCCGTTGAGGTGGAGGGAAGTGGTGCAGTTTCAACTTCCACTTCTCCCTCAACAAACTCTTGCTTTATATAGACAATATTATTACTGTCATTAGGGTTTGTTAAACCAAACCTCTTATCATTCTCGTCTGCAGTTGCACCGCATAAATATACTTCTTGCGCGATATTTGTACAGGCATCTTCGCTAGCTGTGTCTGTCATATCATTTGGATCTTCATTTAGCGGTGGTGGTGGTTGTCTTGTTGATGCGTATGAGTGTAAATTAGTATTTTTTGCTTCCATAAAACGATGTATGGGTTGAAAGAATTCCCACTCCTGTGAGATTAAATATTGTACTTCATCGTAGAGATCTTTTGAGTCCAAGTTATCGAGTCGGTTTTGCTAAAATATTTAAGTTAATAATTATTTACAAATAATTATGTATTGCATACCTTGTACATTCGATATTTTGCAAGCACACTCGACCATTGCATACGTACGAAATTCGCATTAAAATCTTCTAATCTTGCCAGTGTTAAAATTCTTCTACATTTTAAATAAATAAAATAAAAATATTAATTAATAATTAGTACACACAATTTTAACAGTAATTATTAATATTGTAAAATTTAAACTATTAACCTCCATGGCATCGGAGATGTTGATGTCTTATTGTAAAAAAGCGGATCGTATTTGATTCGCGCCTCAACAAGTCGCCGCTTGTGCTCAATTGTCCCTAAAAAAGTTTTTAAGCAATTCTTGGTTAGAGTTTCACAATGACAATTTCAATAATTAAACTCACATTTTTTATGTGGCACCCTCCGTTTGGCATAAGAATGCAGCTCCATTCTTTTTTAGTATTTTACATTCTAAACGTTAATTAATTTTTTTTCGCTAAATTTACAGCTTTAGAACTGCATTTCCAAATGCGAACAAACTCTACACTGCGGCCTTAGCGCAGTCATAGCTTTTGACGTTCGTTTTTGAGGTTAAAATTTGGCTACTGAGAGCAAAAACCTACCACGAGCATTTGTTTACGTTTTGTGTTGTTTTGCTGGCGAACATCTGATAAGCAAGAAATTGCGAAAATGACAATTCACAATAGATTTTATCGATAACTTTTATAACAACAAAAATTCAAAAATATATTCAAGCTTCTTAAATTTTATATGCTTGCATTCAATATATGTGCATTTTTATTTATATTATTTTATTTATTATTTAAATATAAACATAACAGTATAAAAACTTAATACAACAAAACTGAAATTAAATTAATGAATAAAACTTATACAACTGAATATTAAATATTGTTATTGTTTGTGGTAATTCGTGGGAAACTACAGAGCAGAAGACATTATTCGAATAATATTGTTATATTATTTGTAATATTAAATATTCTGAATTATATTAATAATGCTTGAAAAATTATATGAATTATAACTCATATATATATATACACGATTTCAGTTATTATTTATTATGCTTATAAGATTTAAAAATTTACCACCCTTCAATAGTTTATAAAAATTCTAATTACAATTTAAAAAATAAATAAAAATAATTAAAAAAATAAAAATAAAACAAATAAAAATAAAAAAAAAATATTAAAAGTAATATTTAATAGTAATTTTAATTTAAAACACGTTTAAACTTTTTTTATTTAACATATTTATATTATATTTAGAATAAATATTTATTTACAATGCTTTTTACAAAAATTTTCTCAATTAAATTATTTTTAATTTTATATTATTATTAATTTTATATTATTAATTTTTTTATTTTGATTTATGTTCAATTTGGATTGGATTTCATAATTTTTATTACATCAATTAAAATATTAGTACCAACGATAATGTTGCATGCAATGGTCCAGTTTATGATCATACAAATACCAAAGAAGAAGAGGTCTATCAAGACTTATGTGCCTTACAAAGATCGAGCAGAAATCAGGTATTTTTAAAAAGTGTTTTTAATTTAAAAGGCTTATATAAATGAAAAAGAAATGTTTAATTAAAAAAATTGCATGATTTGCATTCACTTTACATATAATAATTATAATGCATATATTTAAAATAACTTTTATATTTTATTATTATTTATAATTTATTCAGATTACTTCAGCAACAAGTTTTGAACAAAGAGATTATGTTATTCGAGAGTTAATAGATACGGAATCAAATTATTTAGATGTATTAAATGCACTCAAAACAAAATTTATGACACCTCTAGAACGATATTTAAATCCCGATGAAATAAAAAAAATTTTTCCACGTATAAAGGTAATTTTATTATATTATTATACCTTATGAGTTGACTTATTTACATAATATATTTATTATATAGGATCTGGCTGAAATACATACAAAGTTCTTAGATAAATTGCGTGAATCTCTATCACCAACAACAAAACTAAAAATGAGTCAAGTATTTTTGGAATTTCGGGAACCTTTTCTAATATATGGCGAATATTGTTCTTGTTTATTAGATGCTATCGATTATTTGGGGGACGTATGCAAAAAGAATCAAATAATTGAACAGTTAGTACAGGTAAGTTTATTTTAAAAGCTTTAGTGCTTATATAAGTTAAAA